CTTTGACTGACGTGACTGACTGATGAGACAGGAATTTATGAGACATGAGTGCTGATGGATGATCTCCGACAACCCAAAACCAAAATGCAAATGCGGCGTGCAGATCCTGCGTCTCTCACTGCCCGAACAACAGAGACGGGTACCGCCGCAAGTCCCACACTAGGAAGGGGCAACCAGTATGTGGTGTGATTTCGAGGAAAACTCGGCGTTGCGAGCTCGCGGCGCCCCGTTTTCGGGCTCCGGGGGCGCGGGGTGGGCACCGTAGGCGGCGGGCGGACGGGCGGGCCGGGCGGCGGTCTGGGCCGGTGTGTTTTGTTGTTTGCCGGCAAACAACAAAACCATCCTAGGTGTTGAATACCTCGCGGAGCGCAGAAAAATTCAGGAAAATACGTATTCAAGGCCAGAAATCTTGAATTCATGAATACAACCCTCTTGTATTCAAGAAAAAAGAATTTCCGCGCGTCGAGCGCTGCGACTCGGACTCGGACGAGAACAACTCGGACAACGAGGAGGACCTGATGGTCTGCCCGCGCTCCGCGCGCGCTAGCGCGCTCCGCGCGCTCTCCGCGCCGCGCGCTCGCTCCGCGCCTGCACAACTAGCTAGCGGCGCTCCGCGCCGCATGTATTCCGTGTGTTCCGGCGCTGCGCGCCTTTTTGAATACAGTATTCAGGCTCCTGGGAGACCTCTCTGTGAATTCATGTATTTGTATTCAACACCTAGGAAAACCATGCAAAACGCGTATGTGGAGAGAGAGAGAGAGCGAGCGAGAGTTTGTTTCGTATGTGGTGCGGGCAAAAGTGCGCCGTTTTCTGCGCCGGATCCGGCGCACTTCTGCGCCGGTGCCGGCGCAGATCTGCGCCGGCGCCGGCGCAGATCTGCGCCGCCAAACGGCGCACTTTGCGCCGCCGGCGCACTCTGCGCCGGCCGGCGCAGATGTGCGCCGCCGGCGCAGATTTGGGGCCCCACACGCTCAACCCAGACGCTCATGAGTCTCTCGCTGGCCGATCTGCAGCGCCTCTCTGCGCGGCAAAAAGCCATCCGACCAACCCAACCACGCGGGCACCCCTCCTGGAGCCCTCCGCCACCGCCGCCGCCGCCGTCGCCGCCGCCGCCGACGCCGCCGCCGACGCCGCAGCAGCCGCCGCCGCCGCAGCAGCCGCCGCCTCCCGCCCAAGGGGCGGAGAGGCCCGCGGGTGCCTCCACCGCGGCACCGCTGTCTAGTGAGGGGTGTACCACGACGCTAGCGTGTACGTCCCTGTGTCTCCGTGAGAGACGAGAGAGCTCTGCCGTCCATCGTCCATGACGCATAAAAGGCATATATCGCATGTGCATGATCGCTCCATGGTGATCCACCAGCCAGTACGTATTTTGTCGTGCTATTTACGGTTTTGGGGTGTCACACTTTCACACGGTAGCCGTGCTACTGCTTGAGGGCCGCTGCCCCCCCCCCCCCCAGGGGGGGTTGGTGCAGCGCTCTTGGCGGTCGTCCTGTGTCGCCAGCAGTGCCGGTGCTATGGTCTTGCGGCCGAGTCGGAGGGTGAGTCGGGCAGGGGCGCGGCCGAGCGGCGGAAGGGACGCGCATGACGCAGCTCGCAGCGCCCGAGAGGGGGGCAGCGCTCAGGCACAAGAGAGACCGTCGCCGGGTATGCGCTCCGCGCCCATTTTGTACGCCCCCGAGGCACGCCTGGCCCGGGAGGGGGAGGGCGGAGGGGTGGTCAGAGGGACGCGGCGGGCCGGGGAGGGAGGGGACGCGCGCGCCTTCGAGTACGCACTCGCGGTGACGGCCGGCTCGCAGGGGCCGCCAGCGCCGCTACGGAGCGCTGCCCGCCGGGAAGGTGCTTGGGAAGGGCGCTGGCGGTGATGTCGGTGCGGCGGGGTCTAACTCGGCGGCGAGAGGAGATGCCAAAAGGCGACTGTAGAGAGGCCGGAACATGTAGTGCGCCACGACGGCGGGAGAGCTCCCTCCCGTTGCCCCGCGGGCCGCCCCGAAGGGCCGTGCAGCCCACGCCCTCAGGCGCCGCTGTCGTCGGCGAGTGTCCTCGTCATGCGAGTGTCCTCGTCGGCGGCGTTTCGGTCCGCGGAAAACAAGCAGAGGCGGCGGCGCCGACTCCAGTGACTGCGGTCCGAGCAATGTGCGCCACGTGGGCCGGGCTCAATCGTTGGCAGCGGCAGAGAGCGTGCGCACCAGTGTGGTGGCAACCCCTATGTGGTGCAAAAAGTGCGCCGGCCGGCGCAAAGTGCGCCGGCGGCGCAAAGTGCGCCGGCGGCGCAAAGTGCGCCGGCACCGGCGCAAAAGTGCGCCGGCGCCGGCGCAGATCTGCGCCGGCGCCGGCGCAGAAGTGCGCCGATTTCTGCGCCGATGCACTCTGCGCCGCCGCACCAAATAGGGGTTTTCACAACACATACTGGTTGCCCCTTCCTAGGCTCATCGGCCGCACGTCAGCGCCTGCCTTCACCGGCGTGCGTCACCACATCTTGGGCACGCAGAGCACCGTGCTCCTCTGCGGCTCCGACTTCAAGCCGGAGTGCGTTGACGTGCACTCTTGCGCCCGGTGCCGCTCGCTTGCGCAGAGGCACTGCTGCGCTTCGCCAGAGTGTGCCGCTGCTGCTGCTGCTGAGGCTCTGCCCGCCAACGGCTCCGGCGGTGTGGCCGTCCGCTGGCTTCACATTCCAAAGTGCGGTTCGACTCTCGGCATCTCGCTGCTCCAGTACGCTTGCACGCCCGCGCTGCCCGCGTGGCACATCGTCTACATGGCGATGGCAGAGGGGCAGATCGACGTGCGGATGGCCCATGCCATCGAGGCGCGCCGAGCGAGGGACGGCTTCCGCTGCGCCGGCCGGCTGGTGATGCCCTTTGCGGGCCACGTGCCGGTCACCCCCGCCGAGCTCCTCCTCTCTCCGTCGGGCATGCTCTCGCACGCCGCGGCCAAATCCGCGCGTGGCGGAGGGCTGGCGGCGATGTTCCGCACTCCGTCGCAGCGGCTCATCTCGGCCTTCCTCGACAACTACCACGCTTGGGGCATCACGCGGCACGCCTCCCGCACGGCGATGAAGCACGCGGCGCCGACCGTCGACTTGTGGGCTCGCTTCCCCGGCGTCGCGGGCTGCCAGGTCAAGATGCTCAACGGGCTCGACTGCGGCGCCCTGCCCCCTTCGCGTGGCGCTCAGGCCTTGCTCGCGCGCGCCATTCGATTGCTCCGCTCCGACGCGTTCGTCTTTGTCGGACTCGTGGAGCGGTGGCGCGAGTCGGTCTGTTTGCTGCACGCATCGCTCGGCCGAGGCACGGCGCCCGTCGAGGGCGAGATGCAGTCGCTCGGCCACTCCCGCAACTCGGACGCGCGCCGCGGCGGCGGCGGCTGCCGGCTCAAGGACAAGGACGGGGTCTGCTACGGATCGGCAGGACGGGGGTACAACGCGTCGGTGCTGCGCGGCTTCCGCGACGAGCTCGACGAGCCGCTCTACGCGGCGGCAGAGGAGGAGTTTGAGAGGCGGCTGCGCCTCCACCGGGTGGCGGGCGGGCCGGCGGGCGTCGCGGCGGACGTTGCGGCGGGCGCTGCGACGGGCGGGGCTTTGGGCGGGGCGGCGAAAGCGGCGCCCGGGAAGGGGTTGCGTTTTCGGTCCGGAGGGCGCGCAAGGCGATTTGCCAACAGATCCAAGAGAGGGGTGGCGCTGACCTTGGCGGCCCAGCGAAGGGCTCCCCAAGCCGCCGGTAAGGAGAGCCAGGAGGAGGTATCTCGGATGTGAACTCGCGCAGCCGAGAAACGAGGACAACCGATGCATGTCCTCGTGTCCTGTTGCAGTGTCCTGTCATAAAATACAGTGTTCACATCCCACAAGTTTGCAACCCAATCTGAGCCCTGGCTGTCACGTGACACTGTCAGGCTGTTGGCTGTCAGGTGCTGTCAGGTGATCTGTCAGGCTGTCAGGCACTTCAGGCACTGTCAGGTGCCTCTGTCAGACCAGCTGTCAGGTGCTGTCACGTGTCAGTGCTGTCGGGTGCTGTCGGGTGCTTGTCTGACATCAGAGGGCTCTGACACACTATCCACACTTATGACATTATCAAGAGGAGACCAGCAGGACTCTACTAAACATACTCTAGTCGTCTCTACTCTGCCTAGAAGGGGTCCGCCTGGGCGCTGGGGAGCGCAGACTGGCCCACCCGGGCCGCAGATGTGTGGCGGCGCAGGCGCAGGCGGCGGCGCCCCGGCAGCGCGGCACAGACGGCGGCGGCCACCCCCACCCAGACGCCGTAGGCATATGACTGTAGGGCCCCAGAAGGCTAGCTGGTAGCTTCATTTGTAGTAGCACAGCCGCCGGTGCTAGAGAGGGGTCCGCAGAGGTGGGGCGGGAGGGACGGAGGGTTGAGAGAGAGACCCATGACTACATGGACCACACTCACATGTCTTTGCATGTAATAGTTTGTTATACCCTCATGGGGCGCAAGAAAGAGGCTGCACGGCCTGTGTACGGTCTGTGCTGCTCAGGTGCTGCTGTCGGGCTGGTCGGGCTGTCGGGCTCTCAAGGAGCGCTGCTGTCAGGCCACTGTGTGCTGTTGGGCTGTCAGGCAGCTGTCAGGCTGTCACGTTAGGGCCTGACAGCGACGGAGCCCCTCTGATGTCAGACTCTGCTGTCAGGCTGTCAGATA